GATGTATACCATAAATCCTAAAGCCAACAATCAGATATAGTTAATCATCCAACAAAGGAGCTAAAATGAAACCATTTTTAATTAAAAAATATATATATAACAGAAAAAGAAGGAAAAGGAAATAAAGAACAGATAAATGGGGTACAATAAGAAACAATTAGCAAGATGACAAATTTAAACCTAACCACTTTGAATGTAAAAAGGCAGAAAATTAGAAGGCAAGGGCCCTCCCTGGTGGCGCAGCAGGTTAAAGCGCAGCTCTATGAAGCCAGCGGCAACTGCTTCAGCAGGGGGTCAGCCCGCCAGGTGCTAACCCTCCAGGAGAGGCAGTTTTTTGTTTTAAGGAGTTGTGCAGAGACTGAAACACAGTCTCTGCACAACTCCTTAAAACAAAAAAAGAAAAAGAAAATTAAACAGCAAAAATTGCCTTTAAGCAACCTATAAGGAACACACTCTAAGTGCAAAAATACAAATCAGGTTACAAATAAAAAGTTGTAAAAAGATATGCCATCTTAGTACTAAAAATAGAAAGGTGGAATAGCAATGTTAATATCAAACAATAGACTATATTCATAACAAAAAATTCATAAATTCGTTTTCATTATAACCAAAACTTGCTGTTTAAAGAGCTTGTTAAGAGAACACAAACACCATTCACAGTCTGGGAGAAAATAATTACAAATTATTTCTCTCTTTTTTTTTCTTTATTGAAATAATATTGTTTTACAAACTATATGATTTGGTGGAATAGGTTCACACCTCCTCAGAGGTATGTACCATAAAAATCAAATTTCTGATAAATGAATTGCTTCTGGAATATATAAATAATAATAAGGAAACAGAATGTGTTATAATCAATTGCATTTTTATACAAAGAACAATTTATAAGAACAATGAAGTATCAATATGTTATCTTTAGAAGAGCATAAGAATAGTAAATATCAAAATACATCTAACAAGAAATTTTTACAAACTCTACACAGAAAACAATAAAACATTATAGATAGAAATTACAGAATACCTAAAAATGGAGGTACATGCCCTTATTTGAAAAGTCAGATTTCCTCAAATGATTATGTATTAAACGTAAGCCAATCAAATGCTTGTTATAACACATGTGTGTAGAAACTCATATCTAAAACGCTGACAGAAATTATAAAGACTTGTAAAGCCATTTTTGAAGGATAAATTAGAAGGATAAATTGAATATATTTTCACATATAAAAATTTTTATAATTTTTTATAGATAATGTACATGGACAACTGGACAAAGACCAGAAAATAGCCCATGCAATGCCAATTTATTGCTGTAATGTGTCACGCATGTGGAATTAGAGATAGAAAGAATGTGTTCTCATAAATAGGTACAGAACAAGCAGGGAGCCTGAACAGGAAAGAGAAGAAACCTGACTCCCTTTACATAACACAGGAAGCAATTACAGGTGCCTGGATATCTAGATGTGAAAAACAAACACCTAAGATTTGCATATGATAAATATTAGTAAATATGTTCATGTCACAAAGATATAGAAATATTTATCTTAAATGCTACAAGTAATGCCAATCATAAAGAAAACATTAGAACCCCACCAAGAAAAAATGCCATTAAAAGAGTGAAAATTGAGATACTAAATGGAAAGAATGCTTGCAGCAAGCTGTGACCAAATGTACTTTCCAAAGATGGCCTCAACAATATCTCCCATCACACTTACTCTTCTGCAGTGTGATCTTACACAAGAGCTGGAGAGCATGACTCCTGGGCAGGTTAATACTTCTTTGAGATGGTTTCACTCATAGTGTTAAGAGGAAGGAGGTCCTAAAGGAACTCTGCAGAGTCTTATGGACTCCATCCCCTACACCAGCTTTCTGGACACTATCCCCTACTCCAGTGATTGGAAACTACAACTCCCAGCAGTACCAGGGAGAGAACTGCGGAACTAGCAGAAATGAATTCTGAGACATTTTGGGGGGGATAAATAGGGTGAGATTGGATCTCGCGCTCTCTCACTCGGGAAACAGCTCTCCAGACTGCGTGACTTGGTGTGTTCAGTCAGCCTAGCCTGGCCATAAGGTATTCCACTTAGTTTGTATCCTGCTCTCATTCCCTGGGTTGTTTCCTATTCCTTTCCCCTTTTGTTATTGACCCTTTTGTGTGTACCTGCAGTGTAACTGAGTTGTGAGCGGCGCAGGTGAGGCCCCACAGACAGGCGGCCCAGTCCACTCTGGGCTACCCTGTAACAATAGCAGGAGTATAATGGACCAGGCAAGAAAATAATAAGAATAATGAACAGCCATATACCAGAGACATTTTGTGCGGGTGGAGTGGGGAATGGGATCAAAAAGGTGGGGGGAGGGGTGGAGGGAAGTGCACTGGACTATGGTGATGGCACACGGGTGACTTGGTGATGGGAAACCCACGGGGACTACAATTGAGATAAAAAAAATGTACAAAATGATGTAAAAATAAACTATTATATTATTTAAAAAATAAAATCAGAAGTAATAGAAAAAAAAAACACTTCTTGAAACCAGGTAGCTTCCATTTGGTTCCATCTTGGGGTGCTCGTTCTGGGAAAGCCAGCTGCTGTGTAAGAATTCCAACTACTCTGACAAAGACCATGACTGGGTATGATAGCTAGTGGTTGACAGCTCAGCTGAGCTCCCAGACAACAGCCAGCATCAACTGCCATCCACCCAGCCCAGTCACGCCTTCAGACTCTCACTTCAGCAACTGAGTGAGAGATGCCAAGCAAGAATTTCCAGCTAAGACCTTCAAATTCCTGTTTTTCAAAAGCATGAGCAAAATAAAATGGTGGATGTCTTATAACACGATGTTTTGGAGTATTTGTACAAAGAAATAATAACCCAGAACCAACAAAAGACTGATATCCAGAATATATTAAAAAATTCCTAAGAAGAAAAGACAAACAATGGGTGGTAAGTCAAAAGGATTTGAATTCCCAGTGGTCAAATATAAAAATATGCTCAACCTCAATAGTAAGTAGGAAAATTTAATGAAAATCATATAAACTACCACTGCAGACCAGCTAGAATGGCTAAATTTAAAAAGTCAAAACTGACAGCACGTGATGGTGTAGCTGTGGAGCATAAGGAACTAGTTTAATGAAATGCAAATGCAAATGGTACAGTATTGAGAAAACAGTTGGCACTATCTACCAAAACTGACCCAGGAATGTCACTTAGACACATATCCTAGAGAAAGTCCATATACACCGAGAAACAAATGCAAAAGAGTTCAGAGCAGCATATGTTGGAAAGTGGTAGTGACTCAAGCCTCTATCAAAAGTAGATGGACAGGCCCTTCCTGGTGGCGCAGCAGGTTAAAGCACAGCACTGAGAATCTAAAGCCGCTACCGCATGAGTTCGATTCCCATCTGCCCCGGAGGTGACCACATGGCGTGGCAGACCTCTCCTGACCCGCCCGCTGCTCCCCTCAGCAGTATACTTCATCGATCTGCCTTTTCTGTTCCCCACTCTGTCTCTGGTGAAGCCTCTCACTGCCCCAGAGCCTCTGGCCTGTACCCCAGTTCTGTATGCACAAATAAATAAATCTTTAAAAAAAAAAAAGTTGTATCACATGGTGGAGACTGCAGCCACGAAATGAGCAAAGCACAGGTTGTCACCATGGTAGCAGTACAGAGACTCTCACAAAAGATGCTGAAGTGTAAGTGTGATGAATTTGTTGAAATACGGTCTTTAAAAATAAACAAAGCAAATAGTAATAAAATGATAACGAAGAGCAGGATAATGACAAAACCAAGATTTGGGGGTTAGGGCAGTGAACTTCTGGAAGGGGATGGGGGGAATGTTAGTGACATTCTGTATCCCTTGATGTGGGGGTAGAAACATAGGTTTCAATTAAATATAATATATTTATAACATATTATAATTTATTTATAATATAATTTCTACATGTGCATGATTGATCATGAAAAATGTTTATTTTGAAAAGCAAAATGATATTGGGAACAAGTTGAGAAAAACAATCTGACTTCATTTACTTGGTTACCTTACTCCCCAACTTCACTTACCGAAGCTTTTAAACTGCTCCCACTGATTCATGAATCCAACTTAACAACACATTCAGTTCTTCTTGCACTTGAGCTGGTAATGGGTGTTATCAACAGTAGTTTTGGCAGCATGATGGTGGAAGGGCAGGAGGCGGGGAGGCGCCTGCAGAGGAGGGCAGCTGCAATAGGCCTCCATGGGATTTATTTTCAAATAGGAAAATTCTAGAGACAGAACAGAAGAGAGAGAGGAAGTCTGTGGAAGGGTTGCCAAGTCAGCGAGTAAAGTGTCACCTGATAAAAGGACTTATAAATGAGCTCAGAGCAAAAATATTTGGGGGAGATCTAAGGAGGAGGTCATGCCTGATGGGTGGAGGCTGGTTTTACTGGGTGCTTGGCCCAAGGGTACAGCCTCCATGGACACCACGTAAGTGGTAAGATAACGTTTGCAGGGTGTTTTCAAAGAAGAAGCACACTGCTCGGTTGTATTTATTGCTTCTTTTTTTTTTTTTTTAACTTTAAAAGTAACATTCATTGTTTGAAGAAAATGACAGAAAAACGCGCGCTGCCAC